AGCGCCCTACAAAAAAGCCCTTAACGTTTTTTTTTTCATTTAAATGTTCCATTAAAAGTTATTTGCAGTTAAAGTTATGCATAAAATGTACTGAGCATTCACAGAGCACCATGCCGTATAAGCAACTTAAGATTTATAAAGGACTTKTATGAATGCTCAGTGCATTTGAAGCTTAACTTTGACTGTGTTTAACATTTAATGGCATGTTTAAAGGGAAAAAATTATTAAGCGCTTTTTTGTAGAGCACTAAAGTTTTTATTAAGATGTACTCTATTTTATAGTTGCGAATTTACATTTTAATGCAAAAGATCAAAATGCCCCATGCTATATGTAAAAAAATATCACATGCTAGAAATACTTAAATATTTACACTGAATGACGACTTTTAGATTAAAAAAAATTAAGTGTTATCACTCGTTTACAAAAAAAAATCAGCTTGCGAAATAACGCACACCCTAATATACATATTATGTATGTAATACATGCTATTAAATTTGCTGCGTACTTAAACACTCCACTGATTTTACATAATGACTTTTCAATTTAAAGTATTTTCATTTAATTCCAATCACCTTAACGCAATTTGCTTTAATTTAACTTAATTTGCTTTAATTTTATTTAATTTCCTTAAATTCAATGATTTGTGTGTGTGTGTGTTTGTTTGTGCATATTTTCACATAAATGATTTTTCATTTAGTTAAATAATTTACAAATTGCAAATGAGAATGACGAAAGTGAGCCCGAGGCGTTGAATATTGCCACTACAGCTACAATAAACGCTCTCAAAGCAATTGATAGCACTCAATCAATTAATGATGTGGTTCCAACARCTAAAATAACTAACAGCACGCATATCGTCAGTGATGTGAATGCCGTTGTCGAATCTAGTGCTATTGAATATCATGCAAATACAATAACAACAACAGCTGTGATTTATACGCTACCCACACCTGCGCAACCATCATTGGCGGCGAACTTACGCCCGTTTAATCCGCACTCCACTGCAGCGCCACAAGCCGACTCTAGCACAAATCAAGCACSGAATGAGACTTTTGTTTGAAAACTGAATTAGGATTTCTTTAAAATTTTCAAATTTTCATTTAGTGTTATGTATTTGTAATTATTTTAACAAATTTTATAATTAATTATACACATTGTAATTTCTAAAACATTAACCGCTTATAATTTGTGAAATAAAAAAGACAGGTCTGTTATATAAATAATATAAATATATATAGTATATAAATATTAGTTTCTCACTGAATTTTATGGAAAATTTGTGGTTTTATTTTCAATTGTGCTTATTWCGAATTTCCTTTATTTTTTWWTTYMWTTTTWWTWWTTTTTTTTTTTTTTGTTTCCTTTCCTTTTGCTTTTCTGTATGTTAATATTAAGATGTGTGAATGTTAAAGAGCGGAATAAATGCAAATGAAATTTTAATAACATAAACACACTAGACAAATTTTTTTAGGGGTTTATAAGGATAATTATTTTAATGAATTTTACACTTATGTTAATTTTTTTAGATTTATTAAAACTCAACTGGTAGAGCCGTTAACCTCGGTTATATCGAAGTTGTAATAACCTTCATAAAAACAAATGATTTCTTACAAGAACTATAGTGACTCAATCTGACAAAACTTTTCGAAGATTGCATATTGCCTTACTTAATAAACCTTGCCAAATTCGGTAGTTATCTCTTCAAATKAGAAAGCTCTTCAGACAAGCACTTTATTCAGTTTGTATGATAGCTTTAGAWAGATAGATTATTAATGAGGTAATGTAAAAAACCAGCTCGATATCTCAAAAACTGAGATGTGTTGAGATGACGAACTAGTCTGTATATGCAGACAGACGGACAGACAAACAAGGATGGCTAAATCGATTCTTCTTGTCACGCTGATCATTTATTTATCTTCTCAGTCAGTTTGTCATGCACACTGTACAGAGTACAATTAAATTTGTTTGCTGTTGTTATGAAAAAGTTTACCATTATATGCTCCAAATATATAAATAAAAGATAAGTATCTTATCTGACATTGGAAGGAGATCGAAATTGGTAAACTCCCCTAGATCCCTACCTTCCTTCCTTAATACCATGCTTAAGACATTGTGACAAAAAAGCACCCAGAAATTGTAATTAAATTCCCCGAGTGTATGAAATTTCAAAGAAATGTATTTTGGTAAGTTGATAGGACTGTCCTTAATTATTATTATAATGTGAGCACGATCATTCGATCTGTACACCTCTGTAGAGCGTTGGGATTTTTACAAATTGCAATATCGTACAAAGAATTTGTCTCAAATTTTATATTTCCAACCAAATTTTGYGTGCGAAAACGTTGAGAATGCTGGAAAAGACTTGCCATGATTCAGTTTCATCAARAACACAAGCCTACGAGTGGTAGAAAGCTGATCGAGGGATCGTTAAAGACACGCCTCGTTCCGCACCCCTTCAATTGATGTAAATATTAAAAAAGTGAAGGATATGGATATGCTTAAAAATTGTCTGGAAATCGTTCTTGTTCGACTCATGTCGATAAAGCTGATTTTTTTTTTTTTTTTTAAATACTGTAAACAGATTTCTTTGGTTATGCATGATCACTGCCGCCGAGACTTCTATCATCGGCTAGGAGGAGAAAAACGAGCCGAAAGCCAAAGCCGCTCAAAAGTCAAGGCGATGCTGAATGTTTTTTTCCGATATTCGTGGTTTAGTGCATCATGAATTTGTTCCGGAGGGTCAGACAGTCACGGCGTTTTCGTAACAACATCTATCGTCGAACATTCATGCATTTTACACGATGGTAATGCATCATCGCATGGAGCCASGACTGGGACCGAATTTAAAGCCAAAACGCAATGAATGCCATCGATCAATCACCGTATTCTCCACATTTGGCTCAGTGTGATCTTTTCTTGTTCCCCAAACTGAAATTGCCGYTCGTGGAATTCGTTTTCAGTTGATCGAGGAGATAAAATAAAATTCGCTGAAGGAGCTGCAGACCATCTAAAAGAGCATTTCGAGGACTGAAAATATCATTGTCATAAGTGTATAATATCTGATGGAGATTACTTTGAAGGCGACAAAATAAAAATGTATGAGTTATTATATATTTTATTCCTACAATTTCCGGAACTTTTTTGTCCCAATTTCTCATTGCCTGTTCACAAGAACTAAGCTTTCGATCACCTCTATTAATAARCGTTATACACAATCATCTTCCAGAAGGTCATCTAAGAAACAATATGCTCACTCTGGAAAAAGATGCATGTATTATTATCCCAAGTAACGGTGCAAACTGTTAATTGTTCAGATCAGAATCACTATRGCATAGCTGCCATACAAACTAACCCAACATAATCAAAATTCTGCAATGAATATTTTTTATATGTGAAGGGTATTATAGTTTTTTTTCTTCTTTTTTTGTTATTAAGTGTGGTTAATAAGWTATATCAATGTATTCAATCTCAACTGATATTACTTATTTAATTATTTGTTTGTCAAAAAAATAAATACTTAACTCATCAATTTAATCTCTACTGAAACTAAGCCAAGATGCACATATACAACATATAAGACCAATAATATTTTTATTTATTTTTCTGTGGTGATTTTTTACTACTATTTATTTTTCAAGATTAATATTATATGTATGACTGTTGCTCCTTACATGAATGCACTCATGACGTCTTGCAAAGCATTACATTAAATCAAATGTTCAAGCTGAATGAAAACATTTTTTTAACGAAAAAGTATATTTGCAAATACAAACAAATGTATACATACATCCTTTGCGGCATCCTTCAACACCTTTAAAAATTTATATAAATAGATATTTTCATTTTAATTTTCATTTGACAACAAGCAAGTGATGCTAGTTATATACTATGTAAAATATGTAAATTTCCTCTCAATTTTTAAACTGAAAATTTTCCTTAATATACACACACATACACACACATACATATTAGTATACGTATCCTATGAATTTATAGTAATTTTCCGCTCTTCTCTAACTTACTAGCTTCCTCTATTAGCTAAAATAGTTACGTCTTTATATGTATAAATATATATATGTATGTATAAAACGTCATTATATATATATGTACATATTCATCCACTGATATAGTTGCATATATACCATTATACCTAT